CAATAAATGCCATGTGGGTGAAATTTTATGGATGATACTCTGATGTCCCATTCTCCTGAAGGCAGAAAGGGACTAACTTAAATATGCTGCACCACCAGAAACTGACAATCACTGAAGAGAAGAAGAGTTATGATTAATGTAGTTACAGTTCTATCCATGTTTTAGTGCTGCAGAGCTCAGTCATTTTGCAACATTGTTGAACTGCCAACAATGGCAGTTCAAAGTTTAAACTGCCATTGTTGTATATCTTTTATCTGGTCATTTTGTGGAATATTTAACAACTAGAAAATGGCACAGAATAAGAATATTTTTTCCACTCTGATTGGCTGCTGTTAGGCCTACCAATTTTAAGTTGAATGTCCATTGCATTTTTCGTAGACACCTGTGAAAATAATTTCTATTCAAATGGCTTTTTTGTTCTCTGGGAAATTATTTTTGATGATAAATACAGAAAAACATATAAATCAAAACATCAACACTATTGATAGTAATATTAATAATAAAATAATAGTCAGTGCAAAGTAGCCTACAAATTCTTTGGTGGGGGGCGGTGAGGGACCTGGATAAAGGCTAGGGGGCGCTGGCACAAAAAAGGTTGAGAAACACTGCTATAGAGAGGGATGTCTGGATCTCTCCTTAGACTGCTGCCTTCACAGCCTCCTTAGGCTGTGAAGGCCTAAAGAGGCTGTGAAGGCCTAAAGAGGCTGTGAAGGCAGCATGGATGAAAATGGTCCATGAAAATGGACGGATGAATGGAAACAGATTGCAAATACAATTCCTAAATGGATTTGGGAAATAGAATGGGAAGCTATGTACACTTATTTTCTTTAATTAAGGAACAGCATGTAAATCTGTGTAAATAGTTTACACTTACGGAATGGCATTTATTACAACTTTTTATTTTGTCCCCAAGTATCTATTCAATTCCATTCAATTCAGTTTATTAACACTGATTTGCAACAATTTTCTCAAGGCACTTTACCAAAAAATGCCATTAGATGCCATTTCATGAATCTAAAAGTGATGAAATTAGGATGTGTAAATATGTTGGCAATTAACACATACGACCTTGTGGATACTCTCTTCCCCAAAGGTTTCCGTCAAAAGGCGGCAGTCTGGGAGCTTGAGTGGAAGGTGCTGGTGGGATGAAATCATCAAAATCAGCAGACGGAATTCTGAAAAGACACAGACACAGAAGATAACATTTAAAGAACACTGCTAAAATGTACTCTAAACCCTGCAGTTGATAAAGGCACATTGCTAAGTACACTAACTCTGATTTTGCTGGATGGGGGATTTTATTACTGTAAAAATTCAATGTAGTTTGGTTTCCTTTGCTTTATTTTTTTTTATCTTTGATATTTTATGACCAAACTAACATGACTGTAGCTTACAAACCCATTCAATAAGTTAGAATGTCATTTCAGCGTTATTTTATCTAAGTAACTCAGTTCACTAAATGAAGCAAATATGATTATGCCGAAGCCTTTATTTTAATTAATTATGATAATGTTCTGCTTACAGCTAATTAACGATTTAGGATAATTTTAAATCAGAACAATAAAAAAAACTTTTTAATACAGAAATGTGAACTAAATAAACACGTTTAATACCTGCTTAAAGGTTGTCATCTTCAAAAGTTACTGCTAGATATGAAATGAACTTGTTTGTCCTATAAGGGACAAAGAAAAATTCTGAAAATAACAGTGTTTCACACTGTTTTACCTCTCTTCTTGGTTGCTAAATAAGTAGTCAGACTGCACAGAGGAGGGCGTCCCTGGTGCTATGGGAACTTCAGCTTCAGCTTCAGCTCCAGCCAGCAGATCCATGACAAAGTCTGAGCCTGCAAGGTCTGACCACCCTTCATCTGTAGCAAGAGAAACTGACCAACCTTGCACAGCCTCGGTCACCCCTCTTAAGTTACAACACCATACAGAGAGAGAGAAAATCAAGAATGAATAAAATACGGAACAATGCAAAATAAGGCAGTTTTTACAAATATGTTTTAAGAACAACATGGCTACCTGTAATAAAGAAGCCAAGAGGCCAGCTGCTCTCCTGTTGTCCATGACTCCACTTCAGTTGTCAATATCTCATCTGATGTCAGAGGAGACTTTGTTTTAAATTGATCCTTCCTGTTTAGGTTCTGCTTAGATTTTTTTTAATCTTACCATTGAAAGTGTTTACTTCCAGAAGCATTGTTCCTTTCCTCTGATTGGATGTCCACTCCAGTTGTGTGGGTGGATAGATGCGGGCAGTGGGGCCTGGGAGCTGCAGAGAGGTCAGCAGCTTGTGTTGGCATAGTGAACGGTACTCTGCTGGACCATGGTCAGACACATACCTACAAGGAAAACAGGCACACATTTAAAGAAAGCAGTATAAACAAGTAATCTAGTATCTGTTGTATCTGACACAGACTACAGCAGATTAAGCAGCATTTTCACCAGATATGGGAGATCAAACAAGACAAATATGAGATGTTTTATGTACAGGTATGTTTATTGCAAATATATTCTAGCTTATTTTAAAATAGACTATATAAACAGGTTGTTTCCTTAGAATTGCATGCTCTCTTTATCAACTTTTCCTTATTTTGAATTTTGCCTGCATCTTAGACCTTTTTAATCTAGGGTAATTTGTTTTTCATTGTAAAAGTTTTGAAGATGCTGAGATTTTTGCTGCAGATCCCTCTTCCCTTGTGGCAAACAATTATAATTAAAATGTTATGCACCAGCCATATCATTTTAATTAAAGTAAATATAAACAAATAAGACTCCATTATTATTAAGAAAATAAACAAAAACAATTCTGTTTAGTATGCATGACAAAACAGTCCATGTATCTTTTGTTCAGTTGGTTTTAATTGATAATCAAAAATAGAAAAATTAAAAATTACTTATTTAATGTGAGATTCCAAAAATGCAATACATCAATGTCTTTGTATTTTTGACTTTATCCTTACATCAAAGATCAAACATTTATAAAACGTGTTGATGGTGAGACACTTTTGTAGCGTGTCTGGTGCGGAGGGAGCGCATTCTGAGGAATATAATCCCACTGCTCAGAAGTCAAGTCAGAGTCTTGACTTCTGATCGCTTTAATTTAAGAATTGTTCCCTGATTGTTTCCTGATCATTGTTTATTTGTAGCTAATGGGGCTACAACCTGTGGTGTTTGTTGGTGTGGAGAAAAAGTGGCACGTATGTGGATGGATGTTCAGTTATTGAATGGAATACAAGCATGATCATTTTAATAAATGACATCTAAAAGTAGATTATGACAGGAAATTTTTGACCTGTCAAAATGACGGACAACAAAAAAGCAGATAATCTGAAGTGTAGCACCTACTTGAGCAATGCTTTGTCCAGTGTTGGTGAAGGTGTGAAAGCACTCAGGCAGCCGGCCAGCAGGAGCCATCCCCTCAGACTGTCCTGTTCCTCCTTTTTGTCCAATGTGTGGTACACTAACTGAACAAGGATCTCATCCCTCAAGGCTGGCTGTTTTTGGCCTTTCTCCACTATATAGTTACCTAACACCTGCTCCTGCCAGATGGTAATATCTGATTCAGCTAAAAATCGTAAGATCTGTGGAGAGGGATGCAAAATGGCGAAGATGGATTGATGGGATGACAGTTGACAGCACACAAAAAGAGAGAACATCCAAACATCCTCATACCAGTTTGTTTATCTCCAAGGCCACTCTGGAATATTCAGGTTCCAAAGGCATGAGAGGTCTCTGAAGTGGGTATCCCTGAGGCTGGCTCCATGTATCCTGAGGGCAACATACAGTAAGAAAATCTAGTTGAATACATTAAATGTATATTTTTTTTCATCCTGGGAACATGTCTGTATGTATTTTCTATGTATTTATTCTCAACTTTCACCCTCAACTTTCACATGATGACTTTTTTTTGACCACCATCAGAATCAATGGTATGAACAATGAGGAGACTGTTCACAATGTTTTTTTTAAAGTGAAATAAATGAAGCTTGATAACACTTTCACTTCCTTTAAAAGACATTTGATCACAATTTTTTGTACATATTTTATTTAAAATCTAAGAAAGTATAGATTTTTATTAAAGCCTAAAATTCAGTCTTTCCTATGAAGTACTGTACAACTCTCCCAAATAGCTGTGCCATCATTATAAAAAGAATATTTCTTGTTGTAGACATGCTTAGTTCTGATCTGTACTGACACAGAAGCAAATTGTATAAATCTGAATTCATTTCCTTTTGCACACATCTTCTTCTAGCAGTAGAATCTACTACTGGCAAATGAAACTTCCTGATTGTGCAGGGTAAAAACTATTTCAGTCAACAGTATTTAAGAATTGGATTATGACATTACTGCCTTCTTTGATGGCAGTAATGTCAGTTATGGTAAAGAACAACAACAACAACAAAAAAACACACACAGCACCAGAAATAAAAACTTCTAGATCACAGATTTTAGGCAGTTTCAGTACAAACAGCAAGAGACATTAAATGTAAATGCAAAAATCAGACCATAAAAACCAGTGCAGACCATATTTGTAAAAATATGCATAATTTAAAAGCAGATTTGGGAAGAGGGGCAGAGCAATAATCAGTAGAAGACTTCTGACCTATTGGTTTTTCTGATCCATATGATCCTGAGAAGTATTGCAAAATCTAGGTTCATTTTTATGTTACATAGTAAATCAAGAAGAAGAGGAGGCATTAAAAACGTTGTCAGTGTAATTAGTGGGAACAAACCTTTAATGTGGACTTGGCAAAGCGAGAGAATGGATATCTGTCAATGTCTTGAGGAAGGCTCAGCTTATGTTTTGCCTTCACCTGTGGAGGTGCAACTTCTGTAATCTGTGATCCGTGGTGGCCCCCTACTGGAAAAACACAGCAATTATAGAAAAATTAAAAATGACTTATTTCATATGAGATTCCAAAGATGCAATACATCAATGTCTTTGTATTTTTGACTTTATCCTAACATCAAAAATCAAAGATTTATAAAACGTTTGATTTATTTGTTATATAAAAAGAAACCCTTCAAATGGTTAGAACTACTTAGAGAGCAGTGGTTCCCAAACTTTTTCTTCTGGGCCCACCCAGTGGTTTCCAAACATTTTTTGATCCCCCGCCCCCACCACCCCTTATAGATTACAAATAGCTGTCTGGTTGAACAATGTGTTTGTGGGAGGGGAAAGGGCAAAATTAATGTACATAGCTGGACATAGGCAACAATATCGGTAACCTACAGGCTGCTTGTTAAGCTTAAGGTGCTGTATTGATATTAACTAGCTAGTCATCCTTTAGCTAACATTACCTGCATCCAACAACTTTACTCAACTCAGTCAGTTCGTTTGGGGGAAAAACTGTGAAAAGTTTTTTGTGTTTTGCTGGTTTGCTGCCATGATTCTAACACACCTGCAGCAGCAGCAGGTCTCCTTCACTGCCACACAGGTGTAAACCCAGCGCGAGCGTCATAGCGCTCATGTTGCGTTTAAAGGTGGCTCGGAAAAACAGGTTACCACATGTTAACAACGGATTAAACAGTTTTAACTGCTGATAAAAGTAACAGAGGACACAGATATGGAAGTGTGGAATCCCCTACTGTATCAAATTGACATAGGAATAACAGAGTTGGCCATTCTAAGGTAAAAAACCAGCGCATACAGCATTCATGTTTGTTTTTTTTTTTCATTTTTTCATCCAGACGGCTTCCTGCGCCCCCCCCCCCCTGCAATGGCACGGCACCCCCACTAGGGAGCGCGCCCCACAGTTTGGGAACCTCTGTTATAGAGGATATGCAGAATGCAATGGGTCTGACCCAGAGTTACAAATCTGGATGTACAGGTAAAATTCTCAGTGGACAGACTGTGTTTTTCCAGTCCATAGAGGGTTTAAACCAGTGAAGGCAGGCCAGGCTGTTGCACATAGAGGCCCAGCCAAAGATGGTGTTAATGTATGCCATGTGACCCAAACCAGCCTATCATGCAGCACCAGAAATGAAAATCTGCAGAGGCAGATTTACATTTGCCAAAAGAGTCTCTAGCTGTAACAGATCACTATGTTACTGAGAGAATCCTCAGTAACATAGTGATCTGAGAAATAGATGGATTTAGAAAACAGATGTACCACAGAGGAAAAAATACTAAAAGGGGAAACACTGGGAAATGAAGTTAACTAATGTAATAATTTCATACTCGTGTAAGTACTCATGTATTATGCAAATACGTTCTTTACAAATACCATGCTACTATGTCACAGAAATGTGATGCTTTTTGGCTACATGGACTCTTTAGCAGCCTCTGAAGTCAAGAGCTGAGGGTTACTAAGGCTCTCTCCACACTATAGCCTGGAATACTTCTTTTCTCTCTCTGGCAAATATGAAGTGAGGATTTTTAAAATCTCTTCAAACTCTTTTGATAATGCAGTTTGATATCAGAAATGACCATTATTACAGTAAACAACAAAAAGCATTTAAAAATAAATGTTTTAGCAATTATAGGGCTCTGACTATATTTTACTGTGTATTCAAATGATTAGCAAAGTAGCAAAAAGTAATAATTCCAGCCATACTATTTGTTCAGGTTTTACTAACATCAGTGACTCTTTAAAGGAATAAAAGAACAAACTGAGCAAATGTAGAAAAATGAATAAAGAGACAAGAAACAATCTAAATACAGTGTAATGGTAAGAATCTTGAATTAAGATTTTCTGATTAATAGGATCACCTTGGCTGGTGTGATTTCCTGTGATATTATATGAACCCCATACAACTGGTGCACAATGTTGTTTAAAATCATTTTTCAAATAGCTTTTTTCAAAACTTACCTGCTGCACTGCGGAGTCTGGCGGACAGCTCAGCAGGTATCTCTAACATCCCTACATCCTAAACAAAACATAATGTCTTTTTATTAAAGTTAAAAATAAAAAACTTGGAGAAGAAATAAGTAAAGCAGAGAAATTATTTGCTTCTATTATCCTCTTACCATCCCTGACGAGATGAGCTTTGTCTTTTTAGCTGTTTTAACTTTGTTCTTCTTGTGTAATTCCTGAAATCAACAAGCATGAATCCTCAATTTGTAATCCTGAATCCTAATCCTCGTTTAATGTTCTTCATCTCAGACTTGCTGCTAATCCACTGTAGGACTCCTTATGTGTGGGATTGTATTGTTTGCGTTCTTTTAGTGATCTTTGTCCCCAATAACTGTCCGAGGAGTGTTTTCTATCATACCTATTCTTAGATACAGCTCCTGTTATATACTTCTGTTACACCCATAATGCTATGGCCCCTCCTCACGCAATGAGATACACAGTTCCAAAAGTCCAGCATTGCTGCCATTCTATCAGAACGTTTACAAGTGACAGAAAGAACACTATACAATGTGTGAGGGTAGCTCCAGCAAATATCAATATTGGTTTTATCCTGAGTTTACATGAAGTTTGTACATTCGAAAAAGTACAAATTTTACTTTGTACAAAGTACAACAGCAGTGCTTTAACTGCTCTTAATATTGATGCATAATTCAGTATTTGCATAGTGTAACATAAAATTCATAAAAGATTAAGACATGGGTGTGTGCTCCTATTGATGAGAAAACAAATATTATATAATGTTTCCACTAAATGAACACAAAGATTGCTTTGTTATTTCTGAGGTTGCTTTCAGAAAAACAACACACATCAAACCAAAACCATGTTTTATCAATCAGAGCAGACAAACTGATTGTCAGGTTCTAATTTTATAATATTGGAATTACATGGCATGGGAAAGAAAGAATAATTCAGAAAGAAGAAGAGAGAAGACTAAGAAAGAAAAAAGGAAGGACAAAAGCAATTATAATACATAAAATAATTATGTATATTTATTTTGTAAAATCTACTATACAAAAGTTATTTTTCATCGAAAATAACTTTTTTAATAAATTGTGTTATTCTTGTAAACAATCTTCAAAGAACTTTTAACTCTATTAATCGTCCATTGTATGTTTATTTTAGCTGCCTCTTACCGATAATTTATGGATTTATTATTATTATAATCACTATTATTACTTGTTGTTTTAATTTCTTCACACGCTGACAATATCATTCAGTGCACCATTATTGCTTATACACTCTTTCACACATGCCCTGGCTCCAGAGTGTGACCCTGGTGACCCACATCTGGGTGAGGGAACACTGTCTCCAATGGTTGTATTCATCATAAGGGGTCTTTGGGCTGCACTTTGTCTGATCCCTCATCTTGTATGACCCTACCAGGGGCACAAGCCCCTGACAGCATAGCTCCTAGAATCACTGGGACATTCAAACCCCTCCACCATGATAAGGTGGCAGCCCGAGGAGAGGCAATAAAAGATATTGCATATTGTAATTAATCGAATCTACTTTGCTGGCTTCACACCAGATGCACCAAATTTCTTCAAGATTAATTCTAGAACTACCATATCAAAACTGACCTTTCATTTTGCTATAGGTCAGTTTTGATATGGTAATTCTGGAATTACCATATACAGCTATACATTGGTAAACTCCATTAAAAAGAAATATAAACTAAATGCATTATGAGTTGTCAAAGGGCAACATTCACCTCTGAAAACATATCAAGAAAGCATCATCTATTCTGTGGTGGAAAACAATGGGTCAAAATAGCTGCTTCTGTCTCACAATCTTAAGAAATGAAGATCTGCATGGCATAAGACTCAGTAGGGACAGAAAATACAGTTTTCTTCAAACAAATTATCCAAATCAAGAAAATTGTCGTTATTTGTCCTAAAACTTGGAGACACATGTTCTTAATCATTTTTATGCATTATTCATATTAGATGTAAAGTCTGTAAAGCTTGTATAAAACTGAACCAAAAATATAGCAACACCATTTATTTCTACTAGAGACAGAAAACTATAAATAACACTCCTAAATCAACAAAGCACTGTTATTACATTCTGAGATGTAACACCCTCAAATGACATCAGTGAATGCTGTCGCCAAAGATCACGTTACTGAGCTTCAAGAGCTGACTAAGGCTCTTAGCTCAGAGTTCAAGTCTCATAAAACGATAAGGAAACCTCAAAACCTGACTGGTAAAACTGAAGCTAAATGACATATGGTTAAAGATATTAACCTGATTTAGCTACTTAAAACACATTGAAACAGATTTAGAGAATGTATCAAACCTTAATGATAAGAGAAAAAAAGAGTCACAGAGAGAAAGGAAATCCTTTTCAGTGTCTTGAAATCTGATGAAGACAAGTCTCTTCCTTATTAACCTCGAGTGTATACAGTAAAATTGCTGAAATAAAAGAAAAAAACACGCTGAAAATATTTCATGCGCATATCAATGACAAAACAAAGAATAAAGCACCCTACCTGGTGAAACTGTGAAGCCAGACACCATATGGGTCTCCTTCTGTTTTAAAGAACAGAAGGAGAGAGGCAGTGCTGCTTCAAATTTCACCATGCCAGGTTAAAGTCCAAGATGAGAGTGTAGCCGAGTGTGTAGTCAGGGTGTGTATGCACACACAGGTAACATGATTAATGTAAGATAAGAATGATAGTTAAAAGAAATAGATTAGTTTTTAAAAGGAAGTTGTTACCAAAGATTAAACATAAGAGTTTAACACACCCTCATGGAAAAACCCTTGATGTTAATCATATTTTACTGGAATATATAGATAAAAAAATATCTAATTGAGTCAAATTTTCACCCAGGCTATTCAAATCTTAACTAGACAGAGCAAAATGACAAGACACAAAATCTCCAATCTAATTGTTAAAAAGCACAGTTAAAACCTACACACTAAACACTGTGTTATCCAATATAACATCTTTAACAGATAAATAATTTTTTAGAAATGTCTTTATTGTCAAACAGAAACTAAATCTTATGTTTTTAACTGAAACAGTAGAGAACCGTGTTTCAGTTAAAAGTAACTAAAGCTGCCCCACCCAGCTTTAATTTTGCGAGTGTAGAATAAACAAAAAGCAGGGCGGAGTTGCCTTTTTTATGAGAAACTGCAGATCAGCAAAAGATCATTTAGAAACTTAAATTCATTTGAATGTGTTGCTGTCCAGGCCAAATCTTACATTTGTGGAATATTTGGCATCTATAGAACTCCAAAAAATCCACTTAGTTTTCTATTCAGGTTTTATAAATTACACCATAAAAAGTTTCCAACAGCAAATGCAATGAATATCTTTTAGAAGTTACAGTATAATTTGATTAAGAAGCTAGATAAACAAGTCACCAAGCTGAACTGCAAAGCTGAAAGCCTCAAATGAGATGATAGCAGACACTCTGTTAAAATAAGAACACTTCTGAAAGATCATATCTATTTACAAATGTACATTAATATGAATCAGTAGTCTATTGTTATGCAAAAACGAAAATATGTTGATGAGCTTTAGCAAAAAAATCTTTTATAATGGAGTTAAAATTTTTTTTAACTCCAACCTGTTGTTTGTGACAAGAAGGGAACATTATGGTACAAATCCAGGGCAATATATTTTACACCATATAGCTGTACATATGTGATGCAACTGTCATCACTCTACTCTTCTGTTTACAAGAGTAAATAGAAAAAGATCAAGAATATCAGATAATAAAAATGAAAGCTAAGGTTGAATGGAAAAAAAGACTCAAGGAAATAATTGAAATAGAATAAAAATCTGCCAATATAAAAAAAAAAAAAGTAAAAAAAAAAAAAGATTGAATAAAAGAATTACACTTTGGTCTCAGGTGATTCTTATCTTTGTCAGAGGCATGCTATGTGCTTAACTGTGAGTAGCAATAAAACTAGGTTGCATAACAGGCAAACAGAATTTACGGTATAATAAAACTTGAGGTTGCCAGAAATGTTTGGCTTTGGTTTAGCTGGGTAGAGTGCTTCTTTTGTGACACTTACCTTTCTCCAATGGTGCCTCTTAATTGTGTTCTTAGTAATTAGCATAACAGCCCAAAACTGGGTGAAGGACTGCCTCAAACGCTTGTAGTACTTCCTAAAAGTGGAAATAATGCAGTGACTCTTAAGAGGAAATTAACAAAGCAGGTGCAATCATTTTTGCAATGGATTCGAAAACAGAAATAATTCTATCCACAAAGTCCTGCATATTAGGAAAGTTTCTACCTATTTTATTTTATTTTTATCAGTACTAAATAATGTTTTTGAACATAAAAAAAGGAATGAACATATTAACTATTGTAGGTTTGAGCAGTCTTTCATAGGCCAATTGCACTGAATTCCCATGACAGCAAGAAACTAAAAGTACCAGTAATGTTAAATCTGTTTTTCTTTTCATTATATTGAAAACTATGCCAGGAATCAAACCCAGGACCTTTTTTTTTTTTGTCAGGACGAGGGGAGCGGTACACTCTAAAAAGTGTATTTGGGTTGCAGTTCATCTTATGGACTTATACATTAATTTCAATTAATTCTTTTGCTATGACAACTTACTTTTTTGTGTTCTTTTAACTCAAAACTTATAAATCTTTAACCTAAAGTGTTAGGTTCCGTGTTTCTGTGTGTTTATTTTTGAGTTTCTCTGTGTTCAGTCCTGTGTTCCTGTGAGTCTCTGT